AAATCCCGCCAAACGCCTAGAGTTTTTCACACTTGGGTCAACTCAAAATATGCCTAAAGACCCAGTACCCGTTAACGAAAAGTCCGGTGTTATATACCGCATCGACTGCCTCTGTGGTCAAGCCAATTATGTTGGTGAAACCGACAAACAGGTTCTCACGAGAATGCACCAGCACGGACTGGCCGTGGGACGGAATGACAAGCTTTCTTTGGTAGCCGCTAACGCATCCATGCCAGGGCACGGCTTCGATTTCGAACACGTGCGAATACTGGGTCAGTCGGACGACCGAATCTCACGCCTCTCGCAGGAGGCATGGCACTCGCACGCGGACTCTATCCATAAGCATATCGATCTCCCAGATGCCTATCTCGCGTTGCGCGAGCAATGTCAGGACTCAAGGTCACTCGCGGCGGAGCGAACAATGGGAACTCAAGGTCACCCACGGCAGAGCTGACTTAATCACGCAGTTGACTGTACTTTTCCATTCCTTGACAATGGCCTCGAGTGAGAGTGCGAAACGTCGGGCAAATAAAATACTGGTCCCAGAGAGCGTCTTCCCGCCTTCTATTCAATTACCTGGGCATCGCATATTTTCGACTATTCTGAATATGCCTATTTATGCGCGCCTACCAGCTTGATGAACAGACTTTGTCTTTTAGGGTGCCCACGACCAGGAAACAATAACTCAACGGTTTCAACGCCTTCAACTGGAAGTTCGCCAGCTAATGAATGATGCTGAGACCGTGGGTACGCAGATGAAACAAGCGGATCCGTCTGAGCCACTTTCTGCCAGCGAGCTTAAGCAGATGGCTTCTACCCTGAATGAACAGCTCAGCGCCCTGCAGATTGAAGATATTTTCGGACCTAATGCAGCGGTTGACCTAACTGGCCAAGAGGCCATTCTTCAGAAGTAATTTCTGCTTTTCCTTATAGCCTAGAATCCTGCTTCATTTTGAAAAGGTTTTTTGTCTACTGCTTTACCTTCACAGGACCCCAGTAGCTTTCGTGCAATTTGTGTACTGATTGTGCATCGGGTTGTTAGATCTTGAAAAGAAACAGCGAGATTTGTTTTTTTGTTATTAGTGCTCAGAGAGT